AACAGGAAGCAGTAGAAAGCTGCAATATATTCAGTCCATGGCAAGACAATAATGGACACTACTATACTGCAGCGCCTGGCGCTGTCAGACTCACATGTGCTCAGACAGGAAGCCATGTGGGGAGAAGAACTAGAGATCGGGCAACCTGGAAGATACACAGGGGCCAGGCACATATTCTTGACATCCTGGATAACAGCATGATTTGGAACCTTGACATAATGCCAAACTGCCAAACCTTGGCTGCCTGGTGCTAAGAATTAACTCGCACCCCCACCTTCAGTGGACATTCAGGCATTGTCTATGTCACATCCCCAGGATTCCCCTTTGTGGTAGTTATCCATTTTTGCCAATAGTGAGGCTACATTTCAATACACTTAAGCAAGTGGCCCAGGGCTAGTAAATTAGCAGAGATAAGATGTAACTACATTGATTGGTAGAGCTCCTCCCTCAGCTTTCTTACTTGTAATCTATGACTATGAGGATAATAACAATACCTAAGCTCAAGCTTTTGTAAAAATTAAATAAAATCATGTATGTGAAAGTACCAGGCACCTTAAAGACGCTGCTCATATATTTGTCTAGCACAAAGGTTCTCAACTGGCAGCAATTTTGCTCCTCTGGGGGACAAGTGTTCACAGAGATATTTTGGATTGTCACACTAGAGGAACATTGTAACTGTATGGTGGGTAGAGGCCAGGGATGCTATTAAATATTCTAGATGCATAAGTCAGCCCCAACAGCAAAAGATTTCCCACCCATAATGTCAACAGTGGTGTGGTTGAGAAACCCCACTAGTAGAATAAAGCAGGGGACTGGGAACCACACAGCTAACAAAGACAGCAGAGCCTTGCAAGAAGGATGCTCAGAAATTGGATCTCAGATTCATGACTTGTTTTCATAAGGTTATCTAAACTGTCTGAATCTGTTTTCAAATGGGGATTAAAACAGCATCTACTTCATGGGAATGCTTAGCCCCTCAGTGGGTGGGTGCTGAGCTCAGAGCTGGCACATGGAAGCACACAGTGTTGGTGTCATTATTAATGAAAGGCATGGTGTGCTAGATGCTGGGAGAGAAACACCATGTTTTACTAAAGTAAGTGAGAAGGGAGAGGAAATTAAGAAACATTGCAGTGACACTGTAGCCTGAGCAATTGTCACAGGGTTATTAATGTTTTCCTGCTGTGCAATTCTATTCTGGATTGTACTCATCATAAAGTAGTTTAGATAAATTAAACGATTGTTGAATAATATTCTGCTAACAATGTAATTAATCACTTTTCACCACTTTCAAAGAAATTCAATAGACACCAAGTTTCTGGAGTAGCAAAAGTTCTTTTCACCATTAACAAGACTCATTGCTCTATTTCCTGTGGTGCTTTCTTAAGAAAGCTTTTATTCAGAAGAAAGTGGTTCAATGATAGCATTTAAAGTTGCCAGCCATGGCTTGATACCCATTTGCTTTTCCACCAATTCCTTTCTGAAAATATCACAATACTTTGGATTTGCACCAACACTGACCCGGATTTTTAAAAATCTTTTGCAATAACAATGGGGTTTCAATTTTCTCACGTTTATATTCTTTTTTTAAATATTTATTTTATGCATACAAGAACTGGGGTACAGGTTAGAGGTGGGGGGTGGTGAGAGGATCCACAAAGACAGAGTGGGGAACAGAGCAGGCAGATCTACGGAAGTACACTGCTGAGGGGAGCAGCAGGTGAGACAGGAGAGGTTTGCCGCACTATGTGGGTAGCTCCCTGGCCAGCCAGAAATAGAACTCGTGCTGCAGAGACTGCAGACAGCTTCACAGGCTGTGTCTTGACCCCTTGCACCATCAGGGAGGCCCACATGTTTATATTCTTATAATCTATTTTGGCAGCTCTACGTTACAACACAATCAATCAGGAGCTACATCTCTTTATATTTTCTAGGTATTGGTCTCTCATCATTTTCATCAGCAGATCTTCAGAACTGAAGGAACCCTCTCTTCTCTCCAGCTGCTCACTTCCCACCCAGTCTTTCTTCTGTCCCTCAACCACCCTAACGATACCACATGTCCTCTCTGACACATTCGTGGCTGGTTAAAACATTTCTGACTTTTTCCCAAATCTCCCTCAGATAACAGACCAGCTTCCTGTCTCCAGAGCTCCTTCATATTTCAGTTATCAGATGTGCTAATCGGGGAATGGAGAAACTTCTTTACAAAGTTCACACTCATCACAATCCCCTTCCATGGGGACAGTGTGAGAATGGGGAGTGAGGAAACACAGGGAGGCAGAAACCAAAGGGCTGGTGGGGTGGGGGATGGGGATTGAAGTTGGGGTGGGAGGGAAGGAGGAAGTGGGGAGTGTATAGCTTGTAGGGGGAAGGCAATCACCAGGTAAATAGATGGGCCAAAACAAGAGCAAGGGGCTCACAATCCTAATGGCTTCTGTGTGTAGAAACCATTTATACACACACACATACACACACACAAATATCAAATGCATGTACCTGCCAAACTAATCAAGCACTACAGCAGCCTCAACATTTAACTCATTCTTCTCTGCACTACCCAACAATATGTGGACTGAGATGTGGGGGCAATACACTCCGCCTTCTCAGCTAAGGAAACTGAAATGCCAAAAAAAAAAAACAAAAAAAGACAAATATTGAAGTACCAGTTCCCCTCTCCCAAAGTGGTTGAAGAAAAGGAGAGACTAGTGAGAGAAAGGCAAGATGGCAGCCACGCCAATGAGGGAGTAAAAGTCCCCGGCAATTTCCAACTGTTGGAAGAACTGGAAGAAGGCCAGAAAGGAGGAGGCGATGAGGTCTAGAAGATGACAAAGACATGACGCAAGATAGACAGGGGCGACCAATGGGCTTCTCAAAACATTTTATGAAAACCGAATAAACAGCTTTAACATAATATGTGGATCCAAATACCCAGAAGCACCCCCTTTGTAAGACCTGTGACAAAAATTAATCTGAACAGAGTTAATAGTTCCAAGGGCGTGGTGGACCCAAGAGCCATCTCAGCGCTAACAAAATGGCAGAATTCAGAAAGCATCAAAGTTTTATTGCAAGAGCTTTGGTGCCTAATGATGTCTAAAAATATGAAAAACCCTCAGCTACTACCGGAAGGACAGTGTTACAACAGTTAATCAAAAAGAAAACCCACAGTCAGCCCCCCCCCCCCCCCCCGCCCATTTCAATTTAAACTGTCTTCATTTTCCACCCTAGTAAGCTTCTAATTGCATCATGTAGACCTCACAGGGCTGGAAAGTACGTCCCTTTCAAAGCAATTTATCTTAAGATACTGTAAATGATGCATATATATGTATCTATATCAGGCTCTAGCAAATCACCGTCCTGTCAAGTGTAACCACTGTCCATACAGTGAACTCTGGGGTCAAGAAATAACAATGGAGCCTATTGAAGCTGATCTCCATCATAACCCATGGGGCTCATCTACCTCAACTGTGAAGACACATCACACAAGTACCTTGCTGCTGATTACATGGCCTGGGGTCTCTGCCTTCTCCCTGCCCCACCCCACCTCAAACCCTTCTCTCCTGCAGCAGCCCTCCAACTTCGGGTGCTCATTAGAGTCCATGTGTCAGGCCACAGCCTGTGGGACTACTGCTGGGTGTGTGGGCTGCATGGTCTGCAACCCTCTCCTTTCTTAAGTCTTAAATGAAGCTCCCCTTCCAAGTCATCATCCTAGTCCCACTTTCCACTACTGCCCTGGGCAGCCCTCTCCACCCCCTCTGAAACTGGCCTTTGGTGAGATTTAGGGCTTTTCTCCATAGCCTCCCCCGCCTTGATCAAGGGGTGCTGCTTTTCCCGTCCCCGCCAAAAGTCCTTTCTGCAGCGTCATCACCCAATGCCCCCCATGACACTTCATTGCTTTGCCAGATATCACCAGGTAAGGTTGGAAAGAGTCTCTGACCACTTGCTTTTTAGTTTTGGAGCCACTTTATTTACTCCCCATCAGCCTGGGAAATGAATGTTGGGTTCCCAGCCCTGCCTTGGCTGTCACCCTCAGCCCATGGACTTTTAGCGAAGGTTTTGCTAAGATGGAAGAACAGTCACCAGGGTTATTGAGACCTGTCAGCCCTCAAAGTCCTTGGTGATTATACTTGGAGCAAGACCACGGGGAGATACTTGTAGCCCGTGCACGGACACACACACACACACACACACACACACACCATCCCTCTGAATGATTGGTTTTCTTTGCCTGTAATTACTTTTGCTTTTCAAATACTGAATAAATTTAAAACAGAAAAAGGAGAGCGATGGACCCCAGGCTTGCCACATTCAAGCTTCCGAAGGAGAGAAGCAAAGCAAGCAATGACACTTACAGGAGTGCAGAGAAATCCAAGAAGGCAGGCAGCAGAAGCAAACTCAGGAGGGCGAGAGCAGGAGACCCGCACCCAGGACCCAGCGCGCAGGGAGCGGCGTGGACCACCCGCCCGGCGCCCGGCGCTCTCAAGGGCGAGGCAAAGAGACCACAAGGAAAATCCTTCTCTAAGAAAACACCCGAAGCAATGAACACATATCTCCGCTCCGTTCTTTTCAATATAGGTTTTAATTCATAACGCACTCGGCGAGGGGGCGGACAGAGCGGGGCGGGGCGTGAGAAGGACAATCGCGCTAAACACACTGACCTTTTGCTGAAAAGTTGGAGAAGGGGCAGGTGGCACGGACGCTCCCCTCGCCCCTCCTGCTATCCCCCCAAACCCCAAACTCCTGGGTTCTCGCCTGCCTGGTCCAGAAAGAAGCTACCAACCGCTTCTTTTGTGTTTGTTGTTGTTGCTGTTGTTGTTTGCTTGTGGCTTGGACAGTTAACGTTGTGATTAAAACAACCCCCAACGCTTCCTCATCTCCATTTCTGAAGTTTCTTTTATGAATTGAATTTTTTAAATCCCGTTTCATCTCCACGTGCAAGTTCAGAAGAGCCGGGAGGCGGGAGCGCCCCACGGCAGTGCCCGGCGGGCGAGGAGAGCACCCCGCGGTCAGTCCGGGCGCGCCCCCTCCTCCCCGGCCGCCCCTTCCCAGACCCCGTCGGGTCTCCAGAGGCCGGAGAACGCGGGGCGGCCGTACCCCGCGCCGTACTCGTAGGACACCTGCTGGGGCGGGGCGGGCACGTCCGAGAAGTCCCGGGCGCAGTCCGAGAAGAACGGGGCGAAGGAGGCCACGAGGCCGGGCCCGTCCTCCCCGCCCGGGGAGTCGGCTGGGGCGGGGTACTGGGCCCGCAAGGGCTCGTTCAAGGTCAGGCCGCCGCGGGGGGCAGTAAGAGGCGGCTTCTTGGTCTGCGGAGCGGCCGGGACGCCCCAGGGCTCGGGGTACAGCAGGCTCCCCAGCATCGCCGGCGGGGGCTCGAAGAGGCCGGGCTCCAGCTCCGGGGGTCCCCGCAGGACGGCGGCTCCGCCGGGGAACACGTCGAGGGGCTCCGCTGCGGCGAGTAGGACGCCCGCCTCGGAGGTGGCGCCGTAGTCCGGCCCCAGCAGCTCGAAGAAGCCCAGCGCCTCCGCGCCCCTCTCCAGGCCGCCCGCGCCGGGGCCCGGCGCCGACGGGGCGCACGCGCCGCCCCCCGCGCGCGAGGGCTCGGTGAAGAAGGACGGGGGCAAGTTGCGGGCTCGCAGCGGGACCTTCCTGGCGCCGGGGAGCGCCGCGCCCCCCGGGGGGCCGATCGCGTCCCCGCCGACGCCCCCAGAGCCCGTCCCGCCGAGCCCCGCCGGGGGTGCCGCCAGCGCGCCCCCCACCGGCTCGGCGCCCCCGGGGACGTGGCGCAGCGAGTCGAAGAGCGCGGCCAGGCTCCGGCTCTGCAGACTGGCGGCCGCCGCGGCCTGCGACGCCTCCCTCCGAGGGGCGACCTTGCCGGGGGCCGGGGCCGCGACGGCCGGGGCGCAGGGCGCGGCGAGGGGCCGCTTGGCGGGCGCGTCGGCGGCGCCCGGGGAGGGCGGACCCGGGGGCGCGGCGCCCATGAGGCCGCTGCAGCGCTTGATCTGCTTCTGCAGGTACTTGCGGTGGTTCACCTTCCGCTTGGACTTGCCCGGCTTGTCCAGGGCCAGCTTGATGTTGCTGGACGCCGAGTCCATGAAGCTGAGCAGGTCGCGGGTGGCCTCGCGCACGTCCCCGCCCTCGGCGCCCGCCAGCAGCGCGCGAGCCGGCGTCCCGGGCTCCTCGTCCTCGAAGCAGCAGCCCTTGTCCAGGGCTCCGAAGGCGCCCCCCAGCCCGTCCGCGGAGCCCCCGAAGCCGAAGGGCACGAAGGGGTGCGCGCTGAGGAGCGCGGCCTGCACCGCCATTGCCGCGGCTCCCCGGGCGCCCGCCGCGCGCCCCGCGCCCCCCGGCCGCGTCCCGCCCGTCGCCCAGCCCCGGCTCCAGCCCCGGCTCCAGCCCCGGCGCGGCGCAGCCTCTCCGCTCGGGGCTGGCCGGGCAGCTCGGCCTCCCCGGGGAGCTCATTAGGTCTTGTACGCGAGGGGCGGGGGGAGCGCGCGCGGCCGCCCCGGGGCGACGGGGAGGGGCTTCCTGGGAGGGGCCGGGGCCCGAGCGGGCTGGGGCGCGGGGTCGCTCCTGCAGATTTCGGGACTCGCGGCGACTCGCCGCCTTAACCCCTTCGTCCCCGCGCGCCCCGCGGCGATGCTCTGCTCTGCTCCGCCCGCGCGCAGAAGTGAGGTGGGAGAGCAGGGCCCCCCAGCGCCGGCCTCCGTGACCGCCACCCCCTGGCGAAGTGGGCTTCCCCGGGCTGAGAAGGCGAACCCCCAGCTCTGGGGACAGTGAGGGCCGCTCGCGGTTTGTGCTGGCCACTGCTGAGCATTAGCCTGTGGAACTTTGGAACGAAGCGTTACCAAGTTTGGGGGTTCCCTGGTCCTTGACTATAGCCGCGGAAGAATTTAAAGCCACGTAGAGGCAAAGGAGAGCAAATTAGTAAAAGTGACCCCAGGAAGAGCTGCTGGCGGGCAGAGTCCATGGAAGAACAGCGATGAGGAAAGGCAGGGAGGGGAGTCCTGGCTTCAAGGAGGTGCACGGGGACTGCGCACCCTGTAGGACTCTGAATCTAATGGGTATTTTCAGTCTGAAAAATATCTCTAATTCCCAGAGTCAGCTAAGCTCTGACAAAATAACATGCAAAATAAATGGCATGTGAAAAGATTCATATGTAAAAGTATCTTCCTTTCCAGAGCTCTGGCGTTCTAGGCATCCCATCCAGGTTGATTTGGAGACCCTTTAAGTCTAACTCAAATGCTGCCTGTCGTTGCAAGCTGCACCGGGGGTGCCTCTGGGAAGAGCTGGTGGAGACATAGATTGCGTTATTCTGTACAGTCTCCTTCCACTTCCTAAATGAGTGCCATGGACAAGTCTTCCGAAACCTCTGTTGCCTCGTCTGAAAAGATGGGAATGGTCATGACTGTTTTTTGATTATTCGTGAGACGCCCATGATATAACAGGCAAATAATACCGATGAGTCACACTTTTCTTCATCTGCGCAGTGAAGAGCATCTCAAGGTTCTTGTGAGAGGGCTTGTATGAAGCTCCTGACACAACATAGCAACTCAGCAAATATGCGAGTTCTCTATTCCTTAGGTAACATCCATCCCCTTCCAACCCATTATCTTAAAATATCAGCATTGTTTCTTCTTTCTCCCAACAAAGTGAGTGATTATTTTCAAGGGCAAGAGACCAGTAATACTTGTGGATTGTAGAAAGTGAGCAAAAGGCAGTGTCCTAGAGGAAAGTGAATGCTGAAATTAGAGCCAGATTAAGGCTGGAGTCTAATGTTGCCCCTTATTTTCCAGCTGACGATAGACAAATCACTTAAACTTCTGGATCACAATGATCCCGTCCAGACAATGGGAATGATGATATGAACTTATCTGATAAGGCCATTGCAAAAATCAGTGAGATCAGGGAAGGGGAAGTTCTATTTGTCTTCTATGCACAAATAGAAGACATTCGTGGCTTAGGCATTCTATAGCCTGATTCACAAAATTGATTATTACACAAAGAAATATTCATTCTAGCCCTTATTCATCTCTGTGCTAGTACTGGGGACAGAGCAACAGAACAGCATTCCATCCCTTTCTGGTGTAAAGACAAATATGCAAATGATTCATTTCCATACATGTGATACCTTTCTCAGTCAAGTCTTCCCAGAGGCATCCCAAAGGAAGCCTGCAAGGACAGGTAGCATTTGAGCTAAGACTTAAATAATGCGTTTCAGTGTGCCCCGGGGAAAAGCAGTGTCTCTGGGAATGGCATGGGCAGAACCATGGTTCTATGAAAGCAAGGATGTGTATGCAAAACAGGAGATAATAAAGCAACAAAGAGCAACTTCTGCTTGAAATAGCTCTATACCTGAGACTTAAATCTTCAGGGCTTCACTATCCAACTAAGTGTATGTGGAGACCCCACATCATGGTCTCAGTTGCTTTCCCCCTTGATCTTTTCTTTGGGAAAGAGCTCTATCTGGGGTGAAATTACTTTCAGCAAAGTCAGTGACCATCTCCTCGAGACCCATCAGCCCCTCCTCCTACATCCTGAGTGAGCACACACACTTAAGTAGCTTTGACATCAATACATTTCACTTCCTATGGGGCAAAGGGACCCTGCTCCAGTCTACACCAAGCCTCTCTGCAAAGCTCCAAACTGGACTCTTTCATCCCAGTGATACCTAATGCTGAGCAAGTGGGATTAGTCTCCTTGGGAACCAAGCCCCCCAGCGGCTCAAGGGCTGAACTCACCCCAAACCGTTTGAGAGAATTGAGATTTCATATTGTTCATTTACACTTGGATTTCAGGACATTACTTAGACAAAAGCCCACCTGAGAGCTGCCCCCTTTCTTGTGGGTAAATACAGCAGCAAGATCAAAAGCTGACTTACTTATTTTGTTTTCCTTTTTGTAACTTTAATCATATTCCCTGCAGGATAATCTTAGTCTGCAGCGATGTCAGGAATGCACATTCATAAAGGGAGAAGTAATTATGCATTTTTTCCTCACTCTTCTCATACCAATTTCCTGTCACTCAATTTTTTTGAAACCTCAAATAAACCAATTCCTTGGTTTTACCACAATTTATGAAGTATCACAATCATCATAAAATAACATTACCTTACGAATTATACATCTTTAAAAAATGTATCTCTTTTTCTTTTCTCATTTTTTCCCTTGCAAATCAAATTCCACTAACACCAGATCTTAATTTCCATCTTAAAATATTAGGTGCTATTCTGGCTACCTGTAATTGTATCATAAACTACCCCAAGACTGAATGACTTAAAACAATTACCGTTTTATTCTGTCTCACAATACTATGAGTCAGTAGTTTAAGCAATGCCAAGCTGGGTGATTCTTTTGGCCCATGTGACAATAAATGGTTTGGAAAATCTAAGATGGCATCACCTGTGCCTACACGTGCAGGCCTATCTGGCGTGGTGGTGTGCAAGCACTCGGGAACTCCTGAGTCAGTACCACAAGAGGCTCCCTGCAGCACCTGCCAGGCTTCAAATTCCCAAAACTTATCTTCTGCTACATTCTTTTGGTCAAGCCAGTTCTCAGGGACAGCTCATATTCTAGGAGAAGGAAACCAGACTCCAATCCTCAAGTAAAAAAATAAAAAGGAATTTGGTGTGGGTCTTAAATTTCTTTTGCTTTAAACACCACACCTCTTTGTTTTCTTAGTAATTGGTTTGTTAAAGAAACTAGGTCAGGGCCTTGTCATTTACCACTTGATTACTTGCATCCATCCCCACGGTGTTATTGAGCCTATTTTTTTGGCCCCTACATTTCATGTGAAAAATAGACTGTGGGGGGGCCATGCTTGAAACTAGCCCTCTCTGAATATGCCTTGGGATGTTTGACTTTGAACCCATAATTTTTTTTGAGTTATAAAACAGAACTAAGGATTTATGAAGCAATTTTTGTATAAAGCAAAGTAAAATAAATGAATCTAACTGTATTGAATTGGTGGCATAACATATAGAGAGGATTTTTTAAAATTTTTTTGTTACTTAATATATTTTTACATCATTCTTTTTTAAAAAAGATTTATTTATTTATACAAGAACTGGGGTACAGACCAGAGGCACAGGAGGGTGAGAGAATTCACCAGAGACAGAGTGGGGAGCAGAACAGGCAGATGGACCAAAGACACTACTGAGGGGAGCAGCGGGCGAGGCAGAAGAGGTCTGCTGCACCATGTGGGTAGCTCCCTGGCTGGCCAGGAATTGAACCCGCGCTGCAGAGGCTGCAGACAGCTTCACAGCGCGGCGCTCAACCCGCTGTGCCACAGGGGAGGCCCCGGATTTTTTTTTTAAGTGAATTTTAATAGTAATTAGACTGTTCATCCCTATTGGGACATTATTTCAAGGACACAAAAATGACCACAGAAAAATAAAACTACCAATTATATTATTAGTAAGAATATTAACATTGTTATTCAGAAACTACTATGCATATATATTTCGTATAATATACATGATATATAACTTACCATATAATATATCACATATGTAATAATGTAATAAGAAGATGAATCTGATCAAACCTCTATAGCCACTTTTCATATACAGGAAACACAACAACTGTAATCTATTATAATGGCCCCGAATGAATTGCTGATGCTTGGTCCAAGCCCCTTTACAATATGGCACTGTCACTCCTCCCATTAACAACTGGGGTCTGTTTCTCCACACCTTTGAATCTGTGCTAGAGAGAGTGCACAAGTTCCAAACTTTTGCAACTTTGCAAGGTAAGAGGCTTTGCAGCCTCTGCTTTCACAATATCGCACACTGAGTCACTGTGCTCTGAACAATCCCAGGAGAAACAAGGTACCCTGATGACACTCAACATCCAACACGCCAGTGTGGCCATTTTGAACCTTCAAACCCAGCAAATCACCAGATAACTGAAGGAACATGAATGGTTTCAGGAAAGATCTGCCGAAGTATCATGCAGATTGCCAATCCATACCATGATGTGAAATATTAAATTTTAGTTTGAAAGGCAGTAAGTTTTGGGATGGCTTGTTATGCAACAAATTTCATGGGCAATTTTTTTTTTTAATAATAGACTTCACTGTAGAAGTATACTCCAACACTCTACTTAATCTATCAAAAGCAATAGAAGCAATGAAATCAGTTCGTTGTAACTGAACACCTTGCACATATCTCGGGTGCAAGATTATACTTGCCCTGCCACTTCAACTGACATAATGAATGTGAAAGCACTTTGCAAACTGGAAAGTATCCTACCAATATATTTTTTTCTTAATGCCATAGGCTTTCCAAATATTGCTAATCCAGGGC